CATTTCCCGTAGAAATTATTTCCGAGAAACTTCAGCAATACAAGTCCTTTCTTAATTAGTTTATTCTTTCTCGGTACAACTTTGCAATATACAGAATTTCCACAGTCAACACGTTTGCAATCTCGATAACAAAACACACACTTTATATTACCGTCATTACTGCTCGCTTGACTCAATTATCTGTCTCTATATTTATTTGTCTGCAATTAATTGCCGGGCTTATATACTAAAATAGAGGGCGCCTGAAAAAGACCAGAGCTGCCAGGAAAAGTCACGATCCTTCGAGAATCTCACGAAGTGTTACAAGCGTCACGTGACTTCCGCTGTCGTAACAGTATATTATACTGGAAATTACAAATTCAAATACAACTGTGTTGTAATTTGACTTTATTAAATGCCAAAATGGTTTACAGTGAAATAGAATGATCATGCATGAGCTTGTGCCAGATTAATGTTATAATAATATATGTTGGTATGTGGCTTTGTAATCAAAGTGATAAACAGATCCTTGTCCGTTATCCATTTTTCAGCATTCACCTAGTAATCCTCAGTAAAGCCTTAACGTTTTCCCAGAGCATTGAACTACCCCAGGTACTGCATCAGAGGCAATACCCTCCGTTAATTAATTGGAAACGCACTAAACAAGTAATTAGTATATCACTCAATAAAGTTTTACTTAAATAAGTACAAAAAAAAAGAGAACTTAAAAGAAATCCTATTTAAAGAACAGCTTATGGGAGTTAAAGATATGATCCATAAAACATAACATACTTATTGAAATTTCACAAAATGAACAGGTTATGAGTTATTAATCAGATTGTTTACATAGTACATATATAACCACTCTCGTCGATAAAGCAGCAAACAACTTTGTTTTTATTAAAAAAAGTTATATATATATATGTATTAAACTTTATGTAAAACAACTATGGTTTGATTTAAAAACGTTTAAGCCTTCAGGTAATGAGGTGTGAAAACACTTCCTAGTTTTATCACACTTTGGAGTGCATTCTGTTAACTTTTGTAATGTAGTACTTCCAAAATACATAAAACACCATACAAATTTAGGTTTATTGCCGAGACAAAAAGTTAAGATTAAGGAATTACGGCAATGGTCTGAAATACATTAAAGAACATTTAAACAAATACTGTAATATTATCATAGAGAACCGGTATTAATGTGGATTTGAATATCAACATCGTTAATCAAACATCCAAGTTCAAAGTTTTTAATTAATCGGACGTTTTCAACTTTAGCATTATAAACTTTCCACTTCCAATTACAAACATTTCTAACAAGTTATGTTTCGATGTTTATAATTCGTAGCTTATTAGATACAATATAATTTGTTCAACACTACAAGACTTCTATGACAGAACTCGTAAAATCATTCGCATGTTAAGTGTTGTTGCTACTAATTTTCCAGAATCTCGCGAGCTTTTTAAAACTTTCATGTCTACACCTAAATTTCTTGGAAATGTTTTAAGATGAATCTCATTAGCATATTGACCACCATTAGTTTTACCTCCCGTTAATTTAAGCTCTTACCATATGTAGCTAACACTAGCTACAAGCCAGTTCCAAGTATGTTGCAACCTAACACTAATGTCTTATGACAAGTAATATTGTAATCATTCTTCGCCGGCTTGTAACAGGCGTGTACACCTTAACAATTGTTGTTGTATCAAACAGTTTATCAGTAAGCACAGTAGTGCTTAGTATGTTAGGGATGGGACGGAAAAAAAATGGCCGACGCATATTATGTATTACTCATCATAGTCTCAAATCTCTCTTATAACAATCTATGAGACTTTTATAAACACCTAACTTACGTTTTAGAGGTTTTCGAAAGCTATTAAGACCTTCAGTTTAGCCAAAAACATCACTAAACTAGAGAATCAACGAGTAGCGTAACAGCTGATTATTCTGTTTCGGGCGTCAGTAGGCCTAATGCTCACCGATGCTTGAAGTTGTTGCGATGATTTACACACCAAAATGTTGCATCTTAACTTAGGGAGTGCAGAAGCAGTATAGCGTTTCACTGACTTCAACACATGATGTCCATCAAGACAACTCATCACGCCAGTCTAAAACTGCTGCCTTCATAGTGACTACCATTCATTATAAAAAAAGAGGGAAAACAGGTAAAAAAATAGACAAAAATAAAGATGATGTAGGGATGTCAAAAAGTACAGAAATAAGGTAGGGATGAAAAACATACAAAAATCCCTACATAAGTAGCCACTGAATCAATATTACAAGCTTATTGGAATTAGCCACTGTAAGACTGTATAGCATTATTCAGTTTAAATGTTTTTATTCATATCTGAATTCATGCAAATGAAAGGACTCAACATTTAGTTGTAGATAAAAGTTTTTCGTGGAAAGATTTGGCTACTTATGTTGGGATTTTTGTATTGTTTTGTGTATTCATCTCTACCTTGTTTCTGTACTTATTGCCATACTTACGTCATATTTATTTTTTCATTTTTTTCCTTATATAAATAGTGTTCCGACCACTTCTATGTTTATTGTATCCCAGCTGGCCTGAATAACTCTGGATTGAGCGAAACGCATCGTAGGCAGTTTATATGACAAATATATTGTGGTTGGAATATTATTATTATACACTCTTCTAATTCTTGAAAAATCCCTAACGGATTAGATTAAGAATGTGGTGCTTAAAAATATAATAGGCCTAATTCTAATATTATATGACAAGTAACATTGTTGTAGCCTACGTTTCTATGTGTAATTATTACTGAGTTTTTCGAGTCTTATCACGTGTACTTTTTGGCCGTTATAGAAAATTCAATTTTATTTATTACTTCCTGTTGCTTGCTTCATGAGTTTTGTTGTCAATGACAGAAGTTAGTTAGACACACGGATTAGTTGACACACCTCATAGTATGTTTTATATATTGTTTTTCTTTTTATTACACTTAACATTTTTATATTTCAATTAGAGTACCAATATCTTAGCTGTTTATTGTACAATTCAGGTATTCATTCATTTTCTTACTTATAATTTTGTATCTTCATAAACATTAGTTTTTGGTTTTACTAGTATTACGGTCCTGCTACTTGACTCCTAAACAGTAACATGTGTCGTAGCAATTTATCTCAGATGGCAGGCTCCTCTAAAGTTACACTGTCGGGACCATTTAATGTGTTTTCATTGGTCACAAGAGGTTTTTAGAGAGGACTGTGGAAGGCTTTGCTTATAACGGTTATACTAATGTTACGTTTTTCAACGAACATTAAACCTACGACTGTATTTGAATCTAACAACTAGTGTATGTGTGTTACGTAAGTGATAAATATAGTATTCTTCCTTTCATATTACTTTAATGAACAGTATTGGCTAGAATATAATGTTTACTGTATGTAATTTTAGTATTTCTTTTATTATTTATTATTATTGTTATACATTGACAATAGAGGTTGTTTTACGTTTTTAATTTAGTGTGTAGATTTAGGACTAACCTAAATCTTCTGAGCTGCCAAACCTCGCGAGATATTATTGGGGTCCTTTGGTGGGTCAGCGGTAAGTTTACGGATTTAAAACGATAAAATCCGAGCTCGATTTCCCGCATTGGATAGAATTTTGTGCTAAAACACTAACAACATATTATTGGCTTTACAGACGAAAATATCGTTAAAAGCGAGGGTATACAACTAATGAAATAATGCATTCTTATTAATTTACTTGTCATTAGACATTAATGTTTAAGCCATTATATTCTTTAACACTGCATTCTATATCTAGTCCCTTAAGGATTTTCAAGAATTAGATAAGTATTCCAACTACATTTTATTCGCCGCATCCATTGCCGAGACGCATTCCGCTCAATCCAGAACTGATCATGCCGACTGCGACACAACAAGAAATATAATAAAAATAAGAAATATGTAATAAAGGTCGGAACACTACTTATATAAGCTATTTGTTACCATAATAATTATTATGGTGTGAACACCTTTTTCAAGATGGCGAAATATGATTATAATAATTTATTTGTCATTAGACATTAGTATTAGGCCGATATATTTTTAACTCGTGTTTGTCGTGTTCCAGACGATCCTGTGGTAGAGTTCTAGATATCGTTGTTGTTATTTAGTCGATGTACATGAAATAAGGAACTGTGAAGCTGACAAAATAATTATCTCATTCAGATGCATTTATGAAGTAAAAACTTTTCTATATACGTTTTAGGCCACGTTGAGACCCCGCATAAATATACTTGTTGTGTGTGTGTGTTACGCTGTCCTTTAGGCCCTTAAGACTTACAAAGGTTGTGGTGCGATTGAATGGATAATGGAAATGTGTTTTAATTAAGGCGTTTCTCTCTTATGAAATTATCAACTGTCTTATTAAATCAAAGCACTTAAGTAACATCGTTTTATTGGTTGTATATAAACTCAAACTATTTAACTCACAATTTACTTAATTCTTTAAAACACAATTTTTTTCTTATATGCGGCCCGGCATGGCCAGGTAGTTACGGCGCTCGGCTTGCAATCTGGGTTCGAATCCCCGTTCCGCCAAACATGTTCGCACTTTCAGCCATGGGGGCGTTATAATGTGACGGTCAATCCCACTATTCGTTGGTAAAAAGAGTTGCTCAAGAGTTGGCGGTGGGTGGTGATGACTAGCTGCCTTCCCTCTAGTCTTACACTGCTAAATTAGGGACAGCTAGCGCAGATAGCCCTCGTGTAGTTTTGCGTGAAATTAAAAAAAAAGACAAAGAAACAAACTTTATGCTTAAGAAAAAAATGAAATATTGTACGTGTTGCCTCCATTCTCGTTACTCCATAATTAAATCGGATGCCATATTAAATGGAATTTTCGTTATATTTTTACGAAATTATTTTACCATCGCTGTTACAAGACTTTAGACTATTTATGTATAATCATCATAACATTCCGTGACATGAAAGATAGGTTTAAAATACTTAACAGAGATCACGTGTAAAAGGATGGAGGATTTTCTGAGGTGTGCTTTTAAAACACGTTGATCATCGCATTAACTTTCGAGCGTGACGAAACCTAACTGCCTATTAACTTATAGTTTAATAAAATCCATTCGAAAATGGCCTTATATTTTCCAGTCATTTCATTCCACTTCTCATCTTTACACATGCAAATTTACTAATATTATGCTTCTAATGTGACTAAGTGCGAAAACAAAGGTATCAAAGACAGAAATAAACAGCCCACAGAATTGTTTATTCAGTTTCATCAATTAAACTATAATTTTATCACAAGGAAGAGAACAGTATAATAAAGTATGACAGCTTCTACTTTATCCTATTAACGTTTCTGTGGATTTTGTCGTGCAATGACATCGAGAATTTTTTAAAATGCACTACAAATTATGTCGATTTAAGTGTGATTGTTACATAATTTTAAGATGTTTATGTTCTCAAGTATGTTATTTATTATGTTTCTTCACTATTTGATTAAGCTAAGCCTTACTTTGTTTTAGTCTTCTCTAGATCAGTACAGTTTACTTACTCCCTTATCGTATTGCATGGGTTTAGGTGTACGGCACACTGACAAAACAGAACTGTGAATGTGATTTACACTAAGAAGATGCAAATATTGTCTTTCTGGAAGTGAAATAAATAACGTTTCTTTTTATCTTCCTTTTTTTTTTGTTTTTACATGTATATGTAGAGGTGACATGATAGTGTTACTTTTTTTGGTCTTTCGACTACCGCTACCTTCTGAAATAGATAAAAAAATTCGTACCTGCGCATTTCGATTATCTTTAAAAAGAATTACCTGCCATGACTTTTTTATCAAATATCATCTTATATTTCTTTGATAAAAATAAAACCTTTTTCTTTTTATGTAGCTTGATTAAAAACCGATTTGTTAAAAAAGAGAGAGAGAGAGAGAGTGGGTGGGTGAAACTTCAATATTATTTTATTTTGTAATTAATGTATGTAACTGTTATCGTCGTATGACTAAGAAAATTAAAAACTTGAGATGTTAGTTGAAAGGTACTGGATATCCAGTGAATCGTTTGCATCTTCAACATATTCATGACTGATCGATTTATACTGACTGGTATGATGTATAGTTATATCAAAATAAACATGAACTGCCACAACACTTCCAATATTAAAGAATAATATCTGTTGTTCATCTGCCCTGCCTGACACCAAATATGTATATATAGTTATGTTTACTTATAGATGTAGATAAGGAACAATCATCACTGTATGAGTCAGTTTGTGTGCCTGAGTTTGAAGAAGCTTTTCAACAACCAGAACATGTTGGCTTTCAACAAGCGGAAGGAAAAGTTATTACCCTTATCAACAGAGCCTCATCCCAACAGCATTATATGGAAAGTAAGTGTGCTTAAAATGTTCGACTTATTTTACATAATATACATATAATTTTACATCATATCATATTGATTTAGCACGAATGTAGCTAGAGTACATATATTGTATTGGATTTCTTAATGGTTCTTTACTTAGTAGTAGCATTATTATTGTCATATTTAACAGTTCCTTATTTCTCTATAACATACACATTTCAAACCGTTTTTGATGACGCCTCAGGAAAACTCCATATTTAAAATGTGAAAAGCATTTTGGTGTTTATGGATATTAGAAATATCTAAAGAACCACTGATCTTGTGTAATTTTAACAGATTTATTATAACCTAGTGTATTCGAAAAAGAGAGGTACGTCTTTATAGGCAAAATTACAAGACATGGGATGCTGAAATTGCTTCTCCAGTTCCCTAATTTATTCATCATGGAAAATTTCTCACAAAGTCTGTTTTATGCGCATGCGCTTTTAAGCATTTAGATATATTGTATCAGATCTAACCATGAATATGTAACATAATATTTGATATGTACAGGGGTTTAGTGCATTATAATAAAACGATTCAGTCGTGCCGTAGTTTTCATTGCAAAAGGTTTCGTCGTAAGGATGTCATGTCCGAAGTACACCACTCTTCCCTGCTTTCTTTCCACAATCCATCTAGTGTACAAGGTCGACAGTTTCTTAATATCCATTTTAACAGTTCGATCTCACAGAAATCCATCGGCAACTTAACGGTATGTCTTTAATTCCTAGCTAATTGAGTTATGCGACGGTTTAACAGGATCTCTCGTAGAAACAACCCGTGTACACATGTATTGTGCCGCTTTTCCAAACGGACATATTTCTTGATTATTTACCATACTATTGGTTTTGGCACAAGTCAGTGACTTTTGTGGATGGTCTGGTGCCCCAAGTTGAACTATATTATTCTTTTTTAAGTGTTATTAGGAACAAGAGATATCCCCGTCTTGAAAATTATAAATCTCCTATCTAAACTTCTTTATGATATAAATGTACGAATATTTTACATCGGAAAAACCTGTAATGTACCTTTTCCCAAAGCGATATCACACTTCCAATAAATGTCGTTTACTACAACCTTATATCGGTTGTGATTGTTACGTGATTTGCAGACTTTCATATTCAAAAGCCTTTTTATATACCGTACTCAGCCCTCTGTATGTATGTCTAGGTATCTGTTTTTCAAAATTATTTATTTCCCTTACCTTTAAAATGTTGATCAGTAAATGTTGGCACGATTAATAAGTATTAATATTTAATTGTTTTAGTTCAGTAGCCTAAGGATCATAACCAAACATTAGAATAAAACGATTGATGAAAGATTACCAGTTAAGACTGTAAAGCATATCAAATTAAGGAAAGGTCAACCGGTTTTTGATACGTATATAGACGAGGAATAAACACTGGAAGAAAAATAGAATTTTTAAGGTTTTCTAAAACGATTTATTGGTACAAATTGTAGCATTCGAAGCTTTATGCCATATTCAAGTAGTTTCTGTGTTGTTGAATAAAGCTTTGCGAGGAAATAGCCACGAAAAAACTATATATTTTTTTTATCAAGCCTTAAAATGGTAATAGACTGATAAATGAATTAATGCTGTCATCATCACACTGTGATCGCATCATTGCTATAATGTTTCTACTTACACCAAGTAACAGTACTAAAGAAGTTTATTTTAATATGCTATTAGAAGATTGTGACTCACACACATACATATATATATGTAGCTCCAGGCTGACAGGAGCTGAGATATGTAAGATGAAGAGTGTTCAGGATCTGTATAACGTCCATCTTCAACCACCAAATCATAGCAAAGGAAAGAAAAACATTTTTAACCCATCTGTTTCGAATAAACTCGTGCTTTTTTTGAACTAATATGTGTATTTGTCCAAGAGAGAACCGGTATTAATCCATTCATTAGCATCGGTAACTTTATTGAATGCAAAGGGAAAATTAAAGATATTGAAGATTTAAAAGTAGAAACATTTGATTTTAGTAGTATTTATACTAGTCTTTGCGGTCTTTTAATAATTCTGGTTAATCAATTCTCAGCGTTAGTAAACACAGAATTTTCTATGACAATGTTACTCCTAAATATTAATCGAATTATTGCTGACTATATATTGATTTACTTGAAACACATTTGTGCAATTTGGTCAACGTGTATTACAAAAAAATACAAGAAAAATCCAATAAGAAGTAACTTTAGCATACAAGTTGAAGATTTATATTTATTTGAACTGGAATTTTCATGCATCGTAAATATTAGTCAATCGCACTGCAGGTGTAATGATAACAGTTTTATACGTAACTAGCGAGGTTTCATTGACATAGCCGAACAAATCTATCCACTCTAGAAACAAGCTTTTCACTAAATACAAAGCCCAATATCTGAACTTTGATATCAGAATCATTAATCAGTTATTCAAGTTGAACGTTTTTAACTTTGAAATTATATACTTTCCATTTCCAAATGCGAAGTATGTTATTCTAAGAACGCGTGAGCAAAAGCAAAGGAGAATATGATATGTTACATTGTTTACTACTCACAATTTATTAGATACATTATAATAATCTGTTCAATCTTACAAGCTGCCTTCTTGTACAATACTCGTGAACTCACAAACTAGGTTTCTCCTATCGCATTTTATACACAAAATTCGTTCAAATATTTGGAAAATTCAACAATATTCCTGCTACTAAGTGTGGATTTAGAACTTTTGCGGAATATCATGACCTAAAAACTTTCACGTCTGTATTTTAATTCTTTTGGAAATTTGTAAAGGATAATAGTTAACTGCTTTAATTTATTTACAACCATTGGTTTTAACCCATTAATTTGAGTTTTTATTACATATAATTCAGAGTTTCACATGTGTCATTAGTTAAGTTACATTGGTTTTTAAAAATTAAATGGGATAGAATTTCATTTTTCATTTTTAAAGTGTTTGAGATACTTCCAGAACTTACAAAAGTTCTTGCTAATTACTTTCTTTCCCATATTTACGACTGTTGTAAGTTACCTTTCCAAGTCTTATTATTGAACTCTTTCAAGGTTTATCGTGTTTATAGTTCAACGTTTTAAAAGATTTGACTTTATTAATTACTTCCGGTAGCCTTCTCCACGTGTTAACTAACAGAGGTTAGTTGTTAGTTGTTAACTAACAACTAACCCATATACTGTATTGTTAGTTAAAGTGGGAATAGTTGTTTTAGACACACTTCATAGTATGTTTCACATATTGTATTATTTGTGGTATATTTAACATTGTTATATTTTCAATTACAGAACCAATAATCTAGCTGTTTATTGTACGATTTATGTATTAATTTACTTTTTTATTTATCATTTTGTATTTCCATAATTAAACACACACATAAATTGTAACAGCTGTCGTAGTAATTTTACTTTCCTCGAAAGTTAAACTTTTGGAATTGTTGAATGGGTTTTCGTTGGTCAAATGACGATTTTAGAGAGGATTGTGTAAAGCTTGTGTTACCTTGTTTAACGAACATTAAATCGGCGACAGTACTTGAAGCCAACAGTTAATGCTCATTGTTTTTTTAAGATTCATCATATAGGTAAATTAATATGTAGAATTATACACGGACTTTTCTCTTTGTTAAAATACTTTTATTTGTGAGCTTTCGGTCCACTTACCGGAGCCTTCATCGAGCAACAATGTAAAATGTTTTGGTAGAAGGGCCGAAAGCTCGAAAAGACAAGTATTTTAACGTAGAGAAAAGTCCGTGCATATTTCTAGAGCTAGTGTTCAATTGTTCCCCAAGTACGATATACTCTGTTATTTAATTAACAGTATTGGATATAATGTTTAATATATCGAATTTTATTGCTTTTTAATTTCATATTCTATTATTATACTTTTATTATAGATGCTGTTTTGCATTGTTAGTTTAATATATGTATTTAGGACTAACTTAAATCTCTTAAGCTTGACGATCCTCGTGAGATATTATTAGGATTACGGCCGAAAAGATTGTTAACAACGAGGGTACATAACTGATGAAGCAATGCATTCGACTCTTTGTCAGTAAGACATAAGAAAATTATATTTAATTAATTATGCTCTATACCAGATTGATTTTTAGTTTCACTACTAGCAAATGACTTGCCCTAATCGGAAGTTAATATTATTGTACATGAAAATTTCAAATTTTTTCTTTTTCAGTAGCTTATATAGTAAGAAAAATGGACAATAAACCCTCGGAAATAATTTATAATTGAAGTTATAGGTAAACATTAATAAAATTATAGTTCATCGATTGAGTATAAACATATTTGTAATATTATAAATTTAAAAAAATTGTATTAATATATTTCTTGGAAAGAGGACATTGCTTTGGACGATTATATACCGACATGTTTTCATACATATCTTAGTGCTGTGATTAGTTAAGTACTCGTTTCATGAACTCAACTCGTGCCTTACAAACGTTGACACTGTATTCTTCTCATATATGTTAGGCTAAACATTACCTTTAGAACTTTCACGAATAAGTGAAAAAAAGTCATAAAGCTTTAAATATTATAAAAACAGCGTCATCAATAATGTACATATATAAATGTTTTAATGAGAATGCGAATAATTTACTTTGGACAAACTTAGGTTTGTTTTATTTAGACGTGAAAGATGCGCCAAAATTGATTTTTTAAAAGAATTATATACAATTATGCAGTATAATTTAACTTCCGTTATCAACCACGTATCCTATGACGGAAATCTCTTGTTATTTTGAAATCTCCGGAAATGGGATCACACAGTTCATGCACCATGACTTCATGACAAGTTGGGTCACAGGAAGTTTTTATTGACTTTGTTAATCGGAAGACCGTCAGTTATGCATTGTGTTAGTGTGATCAAAATCTGTAGATTTTGTTAGAAATATATTAAACACAATCAATTTGAGTTTAATAAGAATGTAGAGGGTACTTGAAAAAAGTTACTTCACACAAAAAAAATCAATTTAAAATAAGATATCGGTGTAAATACAGAAAAAAAAACAAAAAAAAGACACAATTTCAACAGTCAAACTAACGATGTCGCCAGAAGTAGGCCACTTCATCAGAACAGGGACAGATTGTTACCATATGGAAGAGATTCCTCAGTATCTATATACATAATGTCTCTCGGTGTGTAATGCTTAGGATTATTTATCTATTGATTGAAAGTTCCATTTTTTTAGTTCGAAGTCATTTAACAGTATTTTGTTTACTTAGTATTTTAAATCTGAAGTTATATAAGTATTATAAATTTATCTAGTATTAAATGCGGATTATATATCAGTTTTCTTAACCTGAAGACTTTTCTGGTTTTCCTCTCATTTTCCTTTATTTCACCGTGTTTGATACAGTCTTAGGGGTTGTAACAAATCCATCCCGACACTACTGTGTTATAAAAACAAAATAGAAAAGGTTTTCATGAAGCCCCATTGCACTACTTTTTAGCTAGTAATAGTATCTATTTTATCTTAAACATTTTTTTTATTAGTTTTACACCTATATTTTATGTATAGTTGCACCATTTTTAACTTGTGCAGAATAATAATTCTTCACAAATACTTTGGTTACTGTGAGGTTGAGGTTGACTTCTATGAATTATTATATAAAGTATCCAATTAAGTTGCAGTATGACCTCGAAATCCTAATAAGGACCGACTTTTAAGTATCACTGATTACCAAGCAAAACTTTGAAATCCCATGACCATGAGCTCTATTGTTACGTTTCTCACCTGTCGTTCTGCGCGTGGCGGATGTTAGAGAGTAAAGCCTCTACCCTAAAACTCTTTTAGAATTGCTTGTACACAGCACTGATTGGACGTCCTAGTCCACAGGGGTTGAAGTGCGCCGCGTGCCAAAATACATTTGCCATCTGGTGCTCATGCAGAGTGAGTGTGCATGGTTGACGTGTCTTATTAATAACAGGTGAGACAAAAAAGCTTCAACAGCTTACAGCATGATGGTTTTAGAGGGTGAGTGCCTACGCCTAAAAATGGGCTTTTGTGTTTTGTTTAACTTAAGAGTTTTAAAACTTTGTTTAAAAATTCTGTAGCCATGATATAGGCGTCCAGACATAGCAGTGGGCGACTAGTTTCACTTGTAGATAGTATATTACCTTAAGTATGAAACAGTTCTTCTTTTCTATACTGATCCTCACCACATTCCGGTGGTAAGTCTGTAGGTTTACGACGCTCAAAATCTGGTTTCGGTACCTGTGATGGGCAGGGCACAGATAGCCCACTTTCTATACTGATCCTTACCACATTCCGGTGGTAAGTCTGTAGGTTTACGACGCTCAAAATCTGGCTTTGGTACCTGTGATGGGCAGGGCACAGATAGCCCATTGTATGGCTTTGCGCTTAACAATAACCAAACGAAACCTGGTTAAAACGTTCTTGCAGGTATACTTGTATTTTACAGCTCAACATTATCGATGTAGCTTACTTTATTTTTTACTTTCACAGTTTTTTTTTGTACTCATGAAATAATATTAACTGGATGTAGTTTTAACGAGTAATTCATCAAAGGTTAAGTTCTAATTTAGGAATTTAATTACCAAACACTTACAAGATCCGCAACAATTGCATATTTGATCAGAAGTTTGAAATTTTCGTCTACTCCGTCATCTATACAAGTGACAACCGCGCAGATGATCTATCATGAAAGTGGGCAGCTGCTTAACAATGTCGAAAACACTTAATTCAAACAAAAACGGGTTAAGGCGAATTTTACGCTGTATGAACAAGGAAAATAGACATTGTTAAATAAACCAGCTGGAAATTATCTAAAGGCATCACAGTGAATTACAAATTAAGTATGTAACTAATAAAAAAAAATTAACAATCACTATACACCTAACTTAATTATTCAGTAATGTTAGGGCCCGGCATGGCCATGTGGTTAGGGCACTCGACTCACAATCTGAGGGTCGCAGGTTCGAATTCTCGTCACACCAAACATGCTCGCCCTTTCAGCCCAAGAGTTGGCGGTGGGTGGTGATGACTAGCTGCCTCCCCTCTAGTCTTACACTGCCTAAATTAGGCAGATAACCCTCGTGTAACTTTGCGCGAAATTAAAAATAAACAGTAAAGTGATGAGTTTGGTGGTTGTAAAGGTTTATGTTTAATTTTTTTTTCACCGTGACTCTCAAGCTGCAAGAATCCCTCACCTGATGGAGGTTTTAAATAGTAAATTTGTTGTTGTTGTTTTTTTCCATATCAACTAAGCAGCTCTAAAAATTGAATGATTAGAAAGCCAATAAAACTGAAGTTCTCTTTTTTTTCTTACGGAATTATTTCATGACCCATAAGCTTGAGAAAATGTTATTTCACGTAACGTAATAAACATGCATTTGCTGCTTATTAAAAAGTGCTAAATTATTTTGTAACGTGGATAATATGTGGGATGTTATTTTGACTTTGATTAAGCTAATCATTTGTGTACTCAGAAACTAGCTGAAGCCTTATGTTAACTTTTGTCGTGAGAAATGACCCTATTGATTTTGGTTATTTCAGTGAGTTATCAACTGACATTTATATTTTGTTACTCAGTTCGTGAGGACCTAAAGTAAGCAATAATTATTCTATACTTTTAATGATAATTGGAACGGCATATCCATTATTATTGTTATTATTTTTATACAATAATAATAATATTCTTATCATGTTAATTAAAATGTTAGTAAATGATCTAAGTGTGTCATTTTAACTAAGTTTATATATCATTAAGTTTATATTCTGCTTCGAGAATTGGAACAATGTATCCATCTTTACGTACCAATTTGAATTTTTAAAAATTGTTGGCACTAAATACTTTTATTGTTTTTCTTTCCTGTTTATGCTTTTACGACCTTTGTTGACTTTGTTATAGTCTAGCTTTATTTGTTGTTAATTGGTAATAGATATATAATGATAAAATCGTAACTAATTAATCAGTAAATATTGTCAGGGTTTTATGTACATGTAGGTTGAGCTGGGATTCTTGTACAGTAGGTGTCTGTGACTTGTTGGCAATAAATTCGAACAGTAAACGGACAGCACACAATCCACTTGTTTTTTGTTTTTTCGTAAGTTAAGCACAATACTACACGATGGGCTATCTGTGCTCTGCCCACCACGGGTATCTAAACCCGGTTTCTAGCGTTGTAAGTCCGCAGACATGCCGCTGTGCCACTGGGGGGGGGGCTCCACTTGTTTTAAAATAATATATTCAAAATAAGTCAAACTATGTACAAAAATTCTACATACTATGCATACATTCTCTTGTTAAAAGTCCACTTAGGCTGGTTCAATTACTTTAGAATCCAATTGACAAGACGAACTATTTTCTCTACTCTTATTACAACAGTATCAGTGAATAGATCACTTACGCTACCCGTGGGTTTCCACAGTTGTATCCTCAACTTCAAATAATTGTCTCCTTTTCGTCAAAGTCCACACCAAGGGATCAATTACTTTAGAACATCATTTGACAAGACAGATTATCTTCCTTATCCCTATTAAACAGTGAAACTCACTTTAAAATATCGCCCGTTATGACTAATCACTCACACGCCAGCTAACTTCACGTTTTCTAACTTTTTTTCTGACTGAACTATATTTATTCGTTATTCACAGAGGCCTCGAACTTTGTATAGACTACTCGACGCTATAACGGAACAATACTCACTTAAGGTAACGAGAAAAATACCGAAGATTTGAGTAACGTGACGTCAAAAATATTACTAAAGCCTAGTACAACAATCAACTGCATACAAAACATACGACTCGTATAGAGTTACGTAACGAAATTTATCACAACTAACGCTTTTAAAACAATCAACTTTCAACACTCCTGTCATGAAAACTAAATGATTATTAAATATTAAGTCACAAAATAAACTAAATAATAATGCTTACACTAAACAGTCTTGTATATCCAACAAACATAAGTGATGGTTTAGGCTATTAATCATCATAACGAATGGTGTTTGATCGCCAAAACCTTACCGTAATAATTTGTTTCTTTTGTTCTCATTGACTTCTTAGCTGATCTGTTTGAGGATTTCCTCCTTTATTCTCACCTTCTTCTGAACTGACCTATTTGAGGATTTCTTACTTTGTACTCAACTGATTCTTAGCTGATCTGTTTGACGATTTCTTCCTTGTTTCTTAACCTGTTTTTAGCACAAATCTGTAAAATGGACTAAGCGCGTCATTACTCACTGCAGGGATCTAACCCAAACATTTTGTCTTAAAGGCCTTAATCTTATCATTTATGATGAAAAGCCTCTTGAAAAATTCTTTCTTTCGTTTTTAACTTCTTCTTGGATGACCTATTTCGTAATTATTCTATTTGTCAACAAATTTTCAATCGCTCTTTGTGCAGTACCGTCTATGTACAGCATATTACATTTAATTTGAGCCATTTCTTTAGATTATGATTTGCATTTCTTCTAGGTGGATTCTCCCATGTTTCTGACTCTATACATACACTGAATGATATGAACCACGACGAGTTTGGGATGTCTCGATTCGAAACTAACACTCCAAAGTCCAGTTACATGGAAAGAAGTCCCGAGTTTTACTCTGCTACCCTTCCACCTTCTATGTTTCAAGATATCAAATATCAACCAAATTTTCAGAACAAAAGCGTTAGTAAAAGTAAGTGAACCATCTATATGTTTTCTGGAAAATACATCTGTTATCAGAAAGTTACAATATACATTTTTCATTCATGATTTTTTAAACCTTTCCTTTTTAAAAAGTATGGAATAAAAAAATCTAACCAGATGTAATTCAACGTTTCAACATTAGCGCAAAAATAAAGAAATATATCATAATTGAATTCAAGAGATCATGTAAAGTATCTTAAAATATAATATGTCAGAAATCATAGTTTTTTTGTTTAGATAGAAGTCGATTGGACTTTCAATAATCAAATGCGTGTATTCGGAGGAGGTCGTCTTATAGGTTCACATATAACGAAACTATTGATAAAGTACTTGTTTCAAAACGCATGATAAGCATTTTTCTGGCTGTGGTAGATTCTAAGGAGCTATTAAGTATCGTTACTTTATTAACTTAGTTGACACAAATACCACTTCCATTCTGTGTATATGTGCGCGCTAGAACTTTGCCTATATAATTTAGATATCCCTTGATGGAGTTATATGCATTTGAACCCACTAGAATCTAGTTATTTTTCATGACTTGTAAAATGTACACGTTTCCGGAATTTGAAAGTTTTACAGCCTCTGTATGTAAATATTGTGATAATTTGTTAGAGGATGTAACACACCCATGTTTCTTAGAATTAACTGCAACACGTATATAAAAGGAATTTCCTGTAAATAATAATGTGTGGATTGTAGATACAAATGTAAACTCTTCAAATGAAACCCAGTCTTCATTTAAAAAACAGTGTACCTTTAATGTGGTATCGCTGTTAAAACAATTAACACAAGAAAAGCAAATACATTAGGGGTTATACTTTCATACCGCTGAAATATTTTTAGTTCATATATGAATAAACTACTATTAAGTGTTAATAAGAAAACTCTAACTGAAAAAAACAACAGCAAAACATATTCGTCGTGCAGTTTGCTTATCAATTAGTAATCGCATTAACCTACTCGTTTAATTAGAGGTACGTGGGCAACAAAACATTCGCTTTGAAAGAAAGTTATTACTTCTGTTGGTCTTGGTCTATTGATTTTATTCTGAGAGCTTTAGTTTTTTCTGAGTTACGAGTATTTTGCAATATCTAAAACCATGTATCTGTCTTATTAAAATGAAGATCATGTAATGTTAGTGTGTTCAGCTATGTCTAAGTTTTCTGTATTTGAGAACCTCTTTGCATCTGCATATTCTTTTAGTCTTTGACTGAGTGTTTTTCCTTTAGATTTCACCACGACAACTGGGAATACCGTAAATTACATGATTTCTTTTCTTAGGATTACTAGGTTGTTTGGCTCTTGTCAGGGTGTTTCGTAGATTTTTGTTAGGCTTTTTGTTAAGTTTGTATAGAAATTTTTACTGGAGAACTACATAAAAAACTCAGTCTACATATTAAAAACACCACATAAGCTCACTTTAAAAGAAGTCCGATGAATCATTAGTGGATACTTCTGTATATCTTTTCAACAGAAGATTTTGTTACCTAGTATGAGGTAAGCAGAGCATGTTGTACTGTTATTGCATTTTCTAAACATATATTTTTAATTATTGTTCATTTTCTCGCACACAGGCGTACGAGGTTGACCTTGTCAGGAGGGACGGTAATTAATTTAGCCCGAAAAAATCATTTTTGCCCGATTTTTTTTATCATAGAAAGTAACACAAAACAAACATAGGGAAGCTGGTGCGGGGGCCTAACTAAAAAAAACAAAAAAACACGAAATACTTGTGTCTGAATTTTTTTGTTTTTTTGACAAGCTAAAACGTAAATCACGAAATGACGTTATTTTGATTTATTCCAACGTCAATTTTGCCTATACACGCTATATGCTTACTCTAATGTGAAGGTGTATAAAATCAGCTTCAGGTACAAAGTGTAGGGTACTCAAGTGAAAAAAGATCTAACAAATTTTACGTAATACTTAATTTAATTGTTTTGTAAACTTACCACTTATTATAATGGATAAATAAGCACTACGTTTAAAATTACAAGTGATCGAATAAAATGAAGATGCTGACTTCTATCACAGAAAAGCTTCATTTTCCTGATAGGGGTAGCTGCACGAATCACTGTTGAGGCAAAACAATAAATAAACCTTTGCATAAATTTGCAATTGTATTAATTTGACAACTGTATACATTTATCCAAGCAAGGTCTGCAGTAATCATTATCTTTAAGAAATAACCTGCTGTTTAGATGACTTACATGCTTATCCAGCTTTAGATTAGTCAAAGCGAAACTTATTTTAAATTATACACCGGCTTTATATCAAGAAAGTATTTCCAGCCTGAACAGTAGTGAGCGGAATTCTTGGTAAGTTCTTCAAGATTTCAGTATTTCACACTTTGGACAATTCCATTAACAAAAGATTTGAGTTAAATATCATAATAATAATGTGCAGAAAGAAACTTGTGATGCCCTCATAAAACAAAGATCAAGTTGAAATGCCCTTACAAAACAAAAGGAAAGTTGAAATGCCCTTAAAAAACAAAAGGGAGCTAGTGATGCCATTACAAAATAAAATGGAACTAGTGATGTCCTTACATAACGAGCGATACCCTTACAAAACAAAGGGGAACTAGCAATGCCCTTCCTTAAAAAACAAAATGGAACTCGTAATGCTCTTAAAAACAAGCGATGCCCTTACAAAACAAAAGGGAACTAGCAATGCCCTTCCTTAAAAAACAAAATGGAACTCGTAATGCTCTTAAAAACAAGGGATGCCCTTACAAAACAAAAGGGAACTAGCAATGCCCTTCTTTACAAAACAAAAGGCCGAATGAAAAGTTAGCTATAGATAATTCAGAAGAAATACGAAAATATCTATGATCCTGTCCATATTATTAGCAAGCACCATATTTGCGTACGCTCGCTCAATGCATATCAGCACAATGCTATTGAGACGTTCCTGTCCCATAGTGCTGCGGAGGTATGTTAACGTCCTTCGAATGCCGCTGAAGGATCGCTCGGCTGTGCATGATGTCGCAGGAATCATGGCTAGAATTATGATAACTTGATAGAATGTGGGCAACATGAGATCGTGCTGGTACAGTGCAGCAATCGTTGGGTTATCATTTCTGATTTTTTTTGTATATCCCATGCTCAGCTTCCAGTAAATCAAGGTCCAAGTTACAGAACTCGGCGATCTTTCTATAGCTGATGTCTCCAAAGGTATCACTCAGGATGGTGTCTCCCAGCACCCACAAAATATCCTGATCGTTGCCCTGGAATCTTCCATCCATTTCACCAATTACTCTATCAAGAGATTCATAGTAAGTGTTGACTCTATAGTGGCTCTCAGGAGTGGGTGCTACATCAGTTTCCAGACACTCATCAACTAGAGCTTGAAGCCAGCGATAAGGTTTGCGCCACGGTACTCAGGCGTCTCTGAATGAAAATATGGTGTCCTCGTTTGTTTTCCATAGATTTTGAAAGTTCTCGTCGCTTCAGTAACCTCGAAGTATCGTCATGTTGGAATTAATTTTGCCCTAATAATATCAATGGTTTTGCCTTGGAGGTATTTGCTACGGCTATTTGTGTTGGAGAGAATCAGTTTCAGTATGCATAATCTGATTATGAAATCAAAGTCACAGACTGCATTTAAAAGTGCTCTACTTTGTGAATAAGTTTTTGGATCCATGTCCTATGAAAACCTGAAACAACACTTTCACAGTCCTTACCAACTGCTCCCAAACAACCTTTAGCACCTCCCATCGGCATGACTATCTTATCAAACTCAATGATTTGAGTGTCAAAGCGAGATTCTCACCATCCACTTCTGTCTCTCCAAACAATGTACACCATTTGGGGCTTGCTTTTAAGTTGTAAAGACCCTGGGTTTTGCCTAGGGCATTTCTTAAAAACCCAGTCTGGATCATTGTGTCCTGGAGTACTAGATTTAGCAAGTGACTTTAGCAGTGAACATTTATAGCTAAGGAAAATCTAACTTTCATCCGAGTCGTTAATCCTTTATGAATGCTACTCATGTTTGAATCATCATCAAAACACTCGCCAACAATGTTTTCCATTTTCAAATTGAGTTCCGCGATGACTTTCTTCACTAGCTTATATAGTGCTTCGCCCTCAGTTAATTTTGTGACATTAAATCTGAAGAACGCCTCTTTTTTCACTCCTCCAGCAATGAAATGCAAACATAATGTCACTTGCTCAGTTCTGCTAATGTCGGATGTCTCATCAATTATGATTCCAAAAAGGCGACTCAGCCTCATATCATTGGTGATGCGATCCAGTACGAGGTCGACAATTATTTGGAGAATCTTATTTTGTATTCTAGATGACGTCCATTGGGTGTAATCTTCTAGTTGGCTTTTTAGTTTGTCTTCCAGCCAAGGTATATCTTTACACCTCAAGTGAAGCAATTCCAAAAAGTTTCCTCGATTGTTGTCTGATATTCTACCGATCGTATCCATCTTTTCCTCGTGACTGTGTTGCGCATGTTTTGCTGGGCCGTGAATATCAAGCATTGAATGATCACTTTCAGGTAGTTGCGATTTCGCTGAACATATTGCTTATGTACGGTATCCAGTTGAATGATGATTGAGTTTGCTTCTTACTGTTGGATCTGGCATTAATCCAGTTTGTTATCACCAAACGATGTTGTTCATTTTTAGCATGCTCAGCAAGGCGAGAGACTTTCTTCCAATTCACAAAGCGAAATGAATTATTGCTCAGATGTTACCAGCAAGCATAATATGAACCTTCGTTCTTCGTTGTACAGTAACTTAACCAGGAATACTGCTTGAACAATTCTGGTTTAAAATCTATGGTGAGTTTTTTCTGTCTAAACTTCCTTGGGTTGGAAATAGTCATTATCGGTTACCCTAGTTCTTCAATTGCGGACGCTGTTAGATACGGCAAATTTAACACACGGGAGCTGGACGACTGCCTTATAGATATAGACTCGACAGCAATTGGCGATTCATCTTCATTGTTATCTGAATCCGAACAATGAAACCCAACATTGGCACTCTGAATATTGAACGTGCTATCCAAAGTTCTTGGGATATTCTCTCGAAAAGGATTTGCTTGAGATTAGGTTTCAAATTTCTTGTATGAAATAAATTCTTGGACACTGATGATTGTTTCGAGGCATCATCGTGCACACTATTGCTATTCAGAGTCAGGACTGGAATATCTTTGCATCGTAAAATTTCATTCTAGACTGGAGGTTCGGGTGGGCGTTCGCTTGTTGATGACGTGTCTTCAACTTCAACATCACACGTTGTGCTCGACTATCCAAATTGCAATGCTTTTCTTCTCCGCTGCTCTCGCCAGTTGAAAAGCTTAGCAGCGCCTGAATACGTGGAAGAACTGTGGTGGATGTCACTTTCTTCCCTTTGTGTTGATTTTTCATGTGAGTATCTCTATATTCAGAGTCAATTTCTTTTCTGTATTCTCCACACAAGACTCGATGGCGATAGTTGTGCTTGCGTTTCCGTGGCTCATGACTGGACATGACTCTCCGCCTTACCAGTATCAATATCTTAAATATTGGGAAGGATAATGGACGCAATGTAAATAAATTATAGCTATGAAGTAAACCAGGTTCATAAAAGAAATAAATAAAAGTAATGCGATGCAATACGCTTTTACTTACCGTGAAGTAAAAGTGACGAAGAATGAAGTGATCATTAGACAATCTTAGTTGTAGAGCAGATTCGTAGTCTTGAAAGTCAACTTTTCCAGTTGACGAATAGTATTTACTGGGTTGTCTGTCGTAGGGGATATTTCTAACTGCAAGCTATGCACACTGATTACAAAGACTGGGACAGCATGGATTAGTTTGTTTGTTATGGATTTCGCGCAAAGCTACACGAAGGCTATCTGCGCTAGCCGTCCCTAATTTAGCAGTGTAAGACTAGAGGGAAGACAGCTAGTTATCACCACCCACCGCCAACTCTTGGGCTACTCTTCTATCAACGAATAGTGGGATTGACCATCACAGTATAACGCCCCTACGGCTGAAAGGGCGAGCATGTTTGGTGTGATGGAGATTCGAATCTGCGACTCTCAGATTGCGAGTCGAGTGCCCTAACCACCTGGCCATGCCGGGCCCAGCGTGGATTAAATGGCTGACTGATTGAGCGAGCCAAGGGTCTACTGTACAAAGCCTGCGCATTGAATTTTTTAGTACACAAACGAGAGCGTTAGGTAGGCCGCTTAGACAACAGAGCGCACACTACCCAGAGGGAGATGGGGTAAGGGGAAGGCCAGAATAATACTATATTAATGGGAAATTAATAACCACAGTAATTAAACAAAGCTAATTAGCAAAATTTTGTCCGAGAGTCATTTAATTTTTAGGGTATTTGCGCTGAAATATGATGGATTTTCCGAAATTGCCCCCCCCCCCCAACCTCGCACTCCAATAATTTCACCGTACTATTACATGTAAATGCTTATATAGTGTGTTGGAATCCAACTACCCACCCAAACTCGTACAGGAAGCACAAAACAACAAAAAAAAAGAAATTCACTGCGTCTTGTCTTAAAGCAAACAGAACGTTAATCCACTAGCAACAATAAATTTCTGAAAACCAATATAAACACACATAGATAAACACGATAAACTATTTTTTCAAGTATTTGATTGAGCAAATAATTTTTCATTCTAGACATGTATGTATTACAAGCATATTGTTAAATTAGTCATTTCATGTCATGAAGTGTATGAGTGAAACAGTCGTTTCATTATATGGTGTATTTCACAATACGCCCGTTATATATATATATACAGTAGTAATATCTACCAAGATTGATACTTCTAAGTTCTCCACCATTGGCTCTGCTTAAGGGAAGTCTTTTCTGTCGAAGTGGTTGTTATGTATGTATGTTTATACTGGAAATGTAATGGTATTCATTGTTGAAATTATCCAGTATGTGTTTCTTAATGTTGTTCACCTTTGCATTGTTCAATGATACTTCCCACATCCACATCAGTTAAGCATGCAGTTAATAATCAACTAAACGAAACCTTTATTTTGATCGCACTGGCTTAACATCGAACCCACTGGTGACATGCTTTTATGTAAACATTGAGCTTGTTCGCCTGTGACTCACGCCTTAGCAAATAGTAGGCTGTTGCTCATGCACAATGGCGTGATTTTAACTGAGTCACGATGACCTCGAGGTTGGCTAATCATCCACTCATTTGTTTTCTCAAGGTGGTGTCATTTTAAGTGAAACTGTAGCTTTATTTTACTTTTTGTATGATTCAACGAAATAAACTACAGCGTGCTGTAACAAGATCATTAACAGTTTGTAGACAAGTCTTTAGAAGGAAGTTTTTGTTTCAAAGTGCTATATACATGTATGTGAGAATTTAGTAAATGAGTAGATAATTCCTCTTGATTGTTTTAAGTTATTCAAAAGTGTGCTGTTTTCTCTTCTTCTAAAGATTGATCTAGTAGTTAAGTTGTAAAGTAATTTATATATATATAGTAAACAGTAAGTGCAATAATATATATGTGTATGTTAATATATTAGCAATTCTACCTGTTATCTCCCAAAGATATTAGTTTGTTACTTTTTCCTTGTTTTAACGAAACCTGAAGAAAGCCATATGTCTACGATTTAAATATTCCCACAAATGGTACAGCATCTAGAGATTATTGACGTTATATCACACTGGAAACACGTCTGTATAATTGAAACAACATATAGCTGCTACATTTCGGTGAATTATTTCAATAAATTTCTCAAAGAATTTCGCTCTTGTTTTCTAACTGAAAAAGTACACCAAAACTGAGAGGGGGTCTGCTGTCCAAAGACGAATTTTTTTTTTTTATGGTTAATTTTGAGTGTAAGAAAACTCTCAGTTTATATGTTTTTGTAAACTGTAGTTAATAAATAATACCATACTTGGAAAAAGAACTGTCAGTTTATATGTTTTTGTAAACTGTAGTTAATAAATAATACTATACTTTGAAAGAGAACTGTCGGTTTATATGTATTTGTAAACTAGAGTTAATAAATAATACCAAACTTTGTAAGAGAACTTTCGGTTTATTCATCTGTTTTTATTTCTTTGTTTTCCCAACAGTTCGTTGTCATCAAGATATGGCCCTTTCTGACGCTTATAGCTCCCAACAATATGAACCACCATTTCAAACTGTCCCTGGGTCAGTGATAAGTCCAAGTGATCAGTGGATCTCCGAAATGACAGGGCAGCATCCATACCAGCCAGCACCGAACAGGTTACCATTACGTGACTCCCAAGCACAGCTGAATCATGTGAATTCTTTACAGAGTCAACTTCTAAACCAGAAACAGAACCATACTCCTCAGCACTCCAATGACAATAAACCTTTAGTCCAAGCCGCTGTTTTAGCAGGTTATTCCGGTGTGTTGTTATAGCTGTGTAATTAACTCAGAAGGCCAGCACGTAAAAATCTGAAGTTAAAAAAGTGAAGTATTGAAACTGAAGATTGCGATAACTGGACAACTATGACTCACTAATCAAAGTTTTTTTTTTAACTTTCTACGTAAACACCTTCAATAACTAGTGAGTGCGTGTCATACCAGTATCTAGAGATAACCATTTAATTTTCACTGTAATGTTTGAATGTTGTGATTAAACACTTTCGTTGACCAAATTCTTACAAGTGGACTGAATAAGGGATATATAACGTAAAGTCCGCGACCTAGCAGTTAGCATGCCGGATTGTGGATCTGAGGTCCCGTGGTTCGCGTCCCGTTATTGCAAATAATAATAATAAATCTTGCTCTGCCTGTACTAACCGTTCTTATTTTTGAAATGGTAGACTATACGGAGACTATCTGTACTAACCGTTCTTATTTTTGAAATGGTAGACTATACGGAGACTATCTGTACTAGCCGTTCTTATTTTTGAAATGGTAGACTATACGGAGACTATTATAGTCTCCGTATAGTCTACCATTTCAAAAATAAGAACGGTTAGTACAGATAGTCTCCGTTTAGTTTACCATTTCAAAAATAAGAACGGTTAGTACAGATAGTCTCCGTATAGCTTTGCACGAAGTTCGACAAACAAATAGTTTAATAAAAAATAATAAATGCTCCCAAGTACGAAATGTTTTCACTGATTAATGGTTGAAATAATATTGATTTTTAGTCTAATATTGCACACACACAAAAAATCCTATAAAAGAGTTATCCGTTGAATTTCATCTATCGTAATTTAAAGAACAATATATACAAAATGGCGTTTATTTTAAATATGATTATTGTCATTATTGGTTTGTTCTCTTGTTGGCCTTCTCAGTTAAATACTGTTATGATACAGTGTTAGATTTACTTTTGTGACAAACATAGTAATGTAATACATTGATAACTCTTAAGTCGAATCAGTTTACATCCAGTTTCCAATTTGATTGTACACATTTTGAAATACATCGTAACAGTGTGTAAGTTACATTTTTTAAATTTCTAAGTTGCAAAATAAATTTAGATAACTTCAATTAAAACAAGGAAAAAAAACATCTAAAATTGAAACTGTAGTAATGTTTTCTTGAAGTATTTTCTTACATGTTTTTTTTTTTTGTCTTTAGGAAGTGGACCTATTCAACTGTGGCAATTTTTACTGGAACTGTTAACAGATAAAACCTGCCAAAACTTTATTGGTTGGACTGGAAATGATTGGGAATTTAAACTGACTGACCCGGATGAAGTGGCTCGTCGTTGGGGCATTAGGAAAAACAAACCGAAAATGAACTACGAGAAACTTAGCCGTGGACTGAGATATTACTATGATAAGAATATTATCCACAAAACAGCTGGAAAACGCTACGTTTATCGGTTTGTTTGTGATTTACACACTATGCTTGGTTATTCACCTGATGAACTCCGAGCAGTGGTGGATTTCAAATCCGAGAAAAAAGAAGATGAGTAAAAGACACTTTATTTTTCTTTTTTCCTTCTGTTGTTTACTTTGGGATAGAATATATTTTTGGATAGAAATATTTCGGTGGATTACCAGCGGTTGCCGTGGGTTACCAGCAGTTGTGAGTGTTATGTGAAGTCAATTCAATCAACACATTCAGTGTTGGAAGTAGGGATAAGATGTGAATAATGTTATTCTCTTTATCTTACTGTTGTTGAACGCACTGGAATTTGCATATCCTACTGTTATGGTTGCCAGTTGGAGAAGCAGAAAACCTTCTGTATATATTTCTAACAGTAATGTATTAATGGAATAGCGCATCGTCTTTTTTTAGTCTTTAGAAAAGTTTTTTTTTTAAAAGGATAATGTGCTGTAAATGTGAACCTGACAGAGATTTCCTCTCTGTAAGTTTATGAGTGGTACACCTACAAAGAAACAGATGTGACTGGACTGTAGTAGCTTGTATATTGTATTTATAGTGCCTTATTTACTGGTTAATATACAAGTTAAGTGTGCTGTTCCGTCATGTGCACAGTTTTGATATAGCAAGTCTCTTAGTAATATGTCTATACGCACGCTCTTCATACATTATTGCATTCTTCCATAACAGTAAAAAATATTGCATTTACAGAATGTAGTTGCTGTTGTACAACAACACATTTTAATGAGTTATCTATATAAAAAAAGGTAAAACGTCAACAATAATTAAATCAGTGTCTGACAGTTAAGTAAGATAAGTTGTCTTTACTTGGGTGCCATTGATTCAGCTAACTTTACTTATTTAAGAACTGACAAAATACCTATGCCAAAATTTAATATTTTTAGACCAGGAGTTACATAATTTCATTTTATTGCTAATTATCTGACATTTTCACTAATTTTAAGACTTAATATTAAATTTTTATAATTGATACTTTGAATTATTAGAACGATATACACATTGAAAGGTTTAGAAATGGGTACGTAATTTTTCATGTGCATCTCTCTCTCAATTTCCACATACTGGTATCAGAATATGCAAAGGTTTCTTGTTAAAGTTTGTGTAATAAAACGAAGATGTTTACTGTTCACATCATTTGTTAAACAGGGATAAAAGTTTAATATTTGTCTTTACAGTACAAGAAATATGAACTATTGCAATAAATAGTATTCTAAGAATCATAGAACAAAACGTTCTATATGAATACTTATTATACTCCATACGGTATGGTTGTTTAGCGTTTATGCCTTCCATAGTTTTTAAGCTAAGAGAGGGTAACAACAATGATTGTTGAATGGTAATTGATAGCCTATTTAGAATTCATCTTAAAAACATTGTAAAAAATTCTCAAATATATCATAGATTGATTTTCAAATTATCTTTAACGTAGTTATAATAATATTATTCATCAATCATTTATAGGTTCAGCAGGAGAAAAATTAAGTAATTTTCAAACTTACTACAGAAGAGAATGTGCCCAAGTATTAGTGGATTTCTACATTTTTTTATTACAATTTGGTGTTTTATTACTAGTAGTACACGACCTTATAACACCAAATTTGATATTTTTCTTCAATTGCACATTCATTGTTACGGTTTGTGTTTTAGTGGAACGCTCCTGAAGAAGCTGTAAAGCGAAACTTTGAGTGTCCAATTAAAGAAAAATAAAATTGATGTTATAAAGTCGTATATTACTAGTATTAAAATGTTTTTTACACACCAACATGCACTAGAAATTATACAATTTGGTATTGTTGAAAAAAAAGCAGACAACGGTTGTAGATTTAATTATTGTACTGTTAGAAGTAAAATGTTTGTATATTGTGATTATCACATTAAAACACGTGTCCAAAAGTTTGTAGGAAACTATTTTACGGTAGTTTCACTTGGAAGTTTTCATTTTTAATATGCTCTAGTATCAATAAGAGTAATTAATGCAGAATAATACTTTTTAATTAGATTTTAATAATTTATATTCATTCGCATGGACGCATTACTGTGAGTATGATTTTTTTAGTTTTATAATTTATAAAATTAGTAGTATGATAATCTAGGGCGTAGAACTGGCACTTTAAAGTTTCTTTGTTCTTCTAATTTGCATATATTATTATTATTACGTTGTTTTCTCACAATTCTGGATACGATATCCTGAAAGTTTTGTATGGTTCGTCCAAATATGTGTCTAATATCAGTAATACTTTTTATTTTTGCCAGTTTTATTGTATGCTATAACATCACGAGCTTCTTTTTATACATAGAATTGCTATCTAGTGTGGTTATCACCTCCTTGTGCATTTGTAGATTAAAATTGAAGATAAATAATAAATACAAATATCATTAGTGAACGATTTTGAAATACTTTTGTAACCATAGTGAACTTAGACTTTATATTTACCAGTTATATAAGACAAGTTTTTCTGCGAAATTACATTTCAATAAATATCAAAATATTTGTGTTTTCTATATACGTGTTTGTTGTTATGTTTCTGGAAGTCTACGTGGAAAACAACAAGAACAACAAAAACAAATTGAAGGCCACATTTTTGCACTTGGTATACACGACTGTAAGGCATTTTAGGAAAAAAAAAAGGTACAAACAAAAACTTTTGCATGAGTTTTTAGAAAATGTTTTTTAATGTTATAGTTTATGTAGTTATGATATTTGTTTATACTAAAAACTATTTATAATCAAAAATGAAATAATTACATAAGGCTACTTTAGTGCTTTAAAATATTTCTATACACATTAAAAAACGACCTTTGCATTGTTGCTGCCTTTTCGAAATGTTTATATTCATTGGACGAAAAAATATTTAAGAAAAACAAAAAACTGGCTTATCACGCCCATATTTACCATCCGATTTTGGAACGTATAATTTGTCTATACATTTATAGGCCCGGCATGGCCAGGTGGTTGGGGAGCTCGAATCGCAATCTGCGGGTCGCGGGTTCGAATTCCCGTTTCCACCAAACATGCTTGCCCTTTCAGCCGTGGGGGCGTTATACTGTTTCGGTCAATCCCACTATTCGTTGGAGTTGGCGGTGGGTGGTGATGACTAGCTGCCTTCCCTCTAGTCTTACACTATTAAATTAGGGACGGCTAGCGCAGATATCCCTCTTGTAGCTTTTCGCGAAATTCGAAAAACAAACAATACATTCATAATTTCATGTATGCCCCCAGTGGCTCAACAGTAAGTCTTTGGTCTTATAACTTGCTAAAAATTGGGTTTTCGATACTATTGGTGGACAGAGTACAGGTAGCCCATAGTGTGGCTTTGTACTTGACAACAAACAAACAAAACAAAAGTTTCATACATATGATCATAAGTAAAAATATTTACAGAAAAAAATTATATTTGTTATTTCCAAATTGATTGGCACCTTATGCGACCTATGATCTATCCCTAATTTTGAACTGCTGATCAGAAAGAGAGCGACCGGTCATTAGTTCCCTGTCCTGCATGACTACTCTTAACCGAATAACAGGATTGACTGTCAGTTGCTTGAAGAACACACAGCTGAAAGTGTGAAGCACATGTATTCAGCATCATGTTACGGGGTCGAACCCTGGACCTACAATTCGCAGCATGTCATGCTAACAAATAGGTCACCCCAGGTTTAGCAACTTAAATAAGTGTACTAATAGTGAAATAATTATTTCGGCTGTCAACATTACAATAATTTAAAACAAATGTTTCGTTAACTCTGAATACGATTACGTACAGTGAATACGGGTGTGTTAACGTGAACAGTAAAAAATAATGAACGTTTACGACAAAGTATGTTGTAAATCCTTAACACTTTAGAAGTATGCAAACACTGATATTAATATTCACGAAAATCGTTTCTTTACCCAAAGTACTGAAATAAAAGAAATTAAGAAACTGTACTTTAGCTATATTTATCGCTGTTGCGCAGTTGGTTGTATGCAGCTCGTTTCTTATTTTGGAATGATGCAAGATTTTCTGATAACTCAGTAAATCAGCTTTAAGATGTAATGGTATTTTCGCATCGTGTTTAAGATCAGATTAAGAACATTAAAGATTACGTTTGTTCCGAAAAATAGTAAAGAACAGTTTCTTTTAAAAAATGGCTTTAAAATTTATTAATTTTGAGCCATAAGATTAAGCTATTTTTCGCATATTATCAAAGCAAAATAATTACCCTTTCCTCAAATATTACTTTAACAATATTATGAAGAAATATGACCTTAGTTATGTAATTTGAAATTGTGTTATAATGGGCGTTTCTGATATTCATGGAATTGTTTAGGTCTGTAGAGAAAAAAGCTAAACTTTAACTGTTGGCGCTATAATTTTTCATTTTAGGTAGTATTAGTAACATGCTGGCATATCAAGATTGTGAGTTTTTGTTGGATACTAATGCCAGAGATAATTTTGCTGGATGGAATAGAACATGTTATTGCATATGTTTGTTGTTTGCTAACAGTTCCTCAACACAGATACTTTATGACAGAAAATAATTGTATGCAGTTGTGATCTTTGTGAAAAACTACTTGTATAGTAGTATACTATACTTGTATAGTATAGAAATTCACCATTCAGGTGGACCAAGCACTGCTGAAGTGTATTATGAAATTTGAAAATCTGGAAAGAATTGCATATTTGATAACAATGTTGCAGGAGTATGACTGTTGTATCACATCGTCTGGACATGCAACATGTAAATATTGATGACTTTTCTCATCAGATTCCTGAACACCGTGTGATAGTTAAAGCCATTTCTGCTGTAGTGATATCAAGCCATACAGTAGGTGATTCTGATTCGACCAACGGCTGGATAACAATATTAACATTTCAGGAGGTCGAGAGAAACAACTGAAGGACCCCAAATTAGAACAAGCACTCCTTGCTATACAGCAATGCGGAGCTCAGCCAGCACAGATTGAGGAATGTAGTACAGACGCTCAAAACTTATGGTACTTGTATGAGCAACTATGAGTGCAAGATGAGTGGTGTACTATTGTTATCAACCTGTGCTGCAACTAATGGTCACTAATGAGGCAGGAAATTCTTCATACATTACACAACACAAAGACTGGAGGTCACCATGGTGTTACATACACTTAGCTTATGTTCAATAGCAGTTTTACTGGTTGCATGCATTTCAATTGAGGCATTGAGCGATGGTGTAAATATTGTAGAACGTGAGCTGCCCAGAGAAAAAGCCAGCCTGAACAGATTAATTAATAAAAATTTCCAAATCAGAATTTTTGGTTCTCCTTTACAAAGAATAATCCTGAATCCTGCTGGCCTTCTCCAAGAAAGTGAATGAGGTAATTGGTGTGTGCTTGTCACTATCGATTATTTCACTAAGTGATCAATATTTCAGCACAGGTCATAGGTGATATGTTATCAGAGAATGGAATAGCCTTGATTGATGCACTTGAAGAGATCAGGGAGCTAATTGCAATAGACACCTAGTATTTGAGTTGTGTAAAGTGGTGGGTGTGCTGAAGATGCACACTTCACCATACCACTCCCACTCTGATGATTTAGAAGAGCAGGTAATACAAAATCTCAAGTAGATGCTTGCATAGTTTGTTGATCTGGCAGAATAGAATGGAATGAACTCTTGTCATACATCATTATAGTGTTTCTTACTTTCTGAGCTCTCGAAAAGAATTTTATTAAAAGATATCCACAAGATATCGAGTAATAGCTGCTTCGTAATCATACAGTTAGGATGTCTGGTGTCAATAGGTGTAATGTCTAGAACATCAGCAGTTTGCACAAATGAGGATGATTGCTAGAAATTTGAAAACTTTACAACCCTTATTCTTTGAGCTATCAAGGAGTTTTCTGAGGCAAAATGTCATCCTATATATAATGAGAAACACATCATAACTCGTCAACTAATGGAAGCTACGCAGAGCAGACTGTACGATCTCATCTTCGCTATGTTATCACCAGTACACTTATGTGTGTACATAACTCCAGGTACAGTGAGAGAGTTTGTTCTGTCTCAGCAGGAAATGTGAACCAGGTTGTTATGGAGCTAAGAGGAATAGTGTTTGTTTCACTGGACTTGCAGGTAATTTTCTCCTGTGATTCCAATTGTAGCAAGTGTATTAACTCGTGTGCAGTGATACAATATCTTCATAGTTCAGCTGTTGGTGTTGGCAGCCATCTAGGTCAGTAAGTGTGTTTTACTCTAAAGTATTTTATTTAGCCTAGTGTGTATTAATATACCCTATAGTGACAGCGCTAATATAAATCCTGGTTCAAAGAAGTATTAGATAAATGTCTTAATTTGGCTGAATTCTGCCAGTGATGATTTATTTCACGATGCTGAAAAAATGTGCATATAGATTGCAGCACATTACAATACTACAACTATCGAGATGTAACCAGTGAGAGTGGCCCGTGTAGGTTATCATAGTAACGTGCATGAGCGAGAGGCAGTCCGTCTTAAGCTACTATTGTATGTGACAAAATGTAATGTGTATATACGTATAAGACAATATACGTGTATGAAGAAATGTATGTTTGTGGTGTTGTACACATGCTACACAAAGTCATTCGTGTGTGTTGTATAAAACATATGAATACAAATATAATATCAAATATTATACCAAAGGTGAACTTGGTGTACCCAGTACTTTATTTAGTTATAATCAAATATTATACCAAACGTAAACTTGATGTACCCAGTACTTTATTTAGTTATAATCAAATATTATACCAAACGTGAACTTTATGTACCCATTACTTTATTTAGTTATAATCAAATATTATACCAAACGTGAACTTGATGTACCCAGTACTTTATTTAGTTATAACCAAATATTATACCAAACGTAAACTTGGTGTACCCAGTACTTTATTTAGTTATAATCAAATATTATACCAAACGTGAACTTTGTGTACCCATTACTTTATTTAGTTATAACCAAATATTATACCAAACGTGAACTTGGTGTATCCAGTACTTAGTTATAA